TTTAAGTTGGGGGTTTTTTTTTTTTTGGGTTTTTGGGGGGTGTTAAATTTAGGGGGGGGGGGGGGGAGAAAGGGGGGGCTTTTCCAGAGAAGGGGGGGGGGGGGGGGGGGGGCAGCATGAGTGGTTGCACCCATTTCTGGAGTGTTTGGATGATTCGTCGAGGACGGAAAGAGGTGGGAAAAGTACGCTCTTCTTCTCCCTCTGTCCCTTGCTGTTGCTGAGAGGGGTGTTGTCAGGGCGGAGCTGTGTCGGCAAAAGAGATGCGTGGCCTACAGATAGTAGAGTTGTTGTATTGGTGGTGTTGGAGGCAGATGGAGAGTTCTTTGTCAGCTACTATTTTCGCAGCAACAGAGAAATTGGCTGTCGCTTCACGGTAGTGGGTCCCTTGTGCGCTGCTGCTGCCGCGTTGTGCAAGCGCGAGATATGCCCTGTCTCTTCTGTATCTTGTCTCCGTCTTTTTTTTCAAAACGCCGTTTCATGACGTCACCGCGACAGTGGTCTGGTGACCAGCTACAACATTGCTGTAGAAATGAGTGCGGTATTTTAGTTGCGCATGCCCTCAACCTCGTGCGTGGGGGCTGAGTCTCTTTCGTAGGCAGCTTGTGAGGTGGGGAGGGGAGGCATACCCACCTTGCAAGGCTTAAGAAGGCTAGAAGCTGGTGGAATGGAGTCATTACACGCGTGAGAGTAGTGTTTGACGTTTTACTGCGAAGTAGTTACAGTTACAATACCGTTTCAGCGCTATCGGGTGAGCGAGTCATCCAGACCTTCGTGCTTTGTAGTCAGGCCACACGGTTAGCTAGGCTTGAAAACCGAAGATGGTTGGTTCAAGGCAACACGGCACCTCTCACATAGAGCAAGCCTGTTCGGATGCGCGAAGAGTGAAAAATCGGCCGTTATTTTGTCTGCCACTCTACTACTGTAGCAACTCATGTTCTCGGTGAGGTCTTTTTTTCATTTGTAGATTGATGGTTTCGGGTTGTCTTATTTTTTCAAACTGCAGTATGATACTAGTTGTCTCGAGTTTCGATTCAGGGGAGCGAGCACGTTGTGGGGAGGGAAGGAGATATTTTGCGCCTTGCAGGGTTGAGGGTGGACTGAGCTGAGTTGATTTTTTTGTCGTCTTTGGATGTTTGCATGTGTGTGTGCTGTTGACATGACATTATATGTAGACCCCTTCTATTTCCAAAGTATGACAAGATACTCCTCTCGTTCTTTCTCGCCAGGAAAAGTCCGAGCCCGATAACTACGTACAGTTCATGGTGGTGGCCACGCTTAGTGAAGTAAATAGTCTTAGCGGTACAAGAGTGAACGGATCAGGCTACACTTCTAGTTTTAGACGTTTTTCGTTTTTCGTCCCCTTTGAGTCGGAGCGAATTTTGACTCCGGGGGGATTGTGTCTCCAGCGTGTTGTTGGTTTATGATCGCGCCCTCTTAAGTAGCTTCTGAACAGTCAGACAGACACGAGAGGGGATGGTTGGATGTCTGTTGCTTGTTTTTTATTGCCGAACTGCGCGCGCCTTTTTGTTTTTTGTTTTTTTTGGAAGCTGCTGCTTCGTTGCCGTCTCTTTCCTGCGCGCGCGGAGGTTTTGATGTAGCGCAGCATGCCGTATGCATGCTATACCGAAATACCACAGCAGCAGTAGACTCAAAAAGCTATTTTATTTTGTTCCGGATCGGCGTTCAGTAGGGCGGACAAGCATCGCACTCAGGGTTTTTGTTTTCTTCCTGTTCATGTGTTTGGAACGTTTCTTACTTATAGGTGAATTTCTACCATTAAGGCAAGCATGTGGCTTGGCGCGAGAGGCGCCAGCGTCGGCGTCCCAGACCAATGCAGCAAGGCGTTCTGACAGAGTAGTTGAGGTCGTAAGGGCGTTCGTTGCCGAAGGTGTATTTAGTCCTCTGGATGACGCGTGATGCATTTCTGGGTCATACTTGCTGATGTAGGACGCTCCCCATATCTCTGTACGCCACTCCTGTTACTGTCTAAGGGGATGTCGTGAGACGAAGCATGACGCAGCTCTTGGGTAACGTTTTGGTACCCGCACTCGTGATTGCACCATCAGTTTGCCTTGATGTTGAGGGAAAAAGCCATTGGAAAAAAGTCCTTCTGTTGGGATTAATCTGTTGAGTACGTCAGTCGGTGATTTGCGCACATTCCGTATACCGACGTCGTTCAGCTCAAGTATTCTGCGGAGCGCAGCTAGTTTTCTTTACATGTTCTCCCTGCGCCCCCAATATTTGGGGCTGCTGCAAGTATTAGGGAATCAAGGAGAAGAGGAGAACCGTGGAAACGACATCCTGCGGTAGGTGGGCACTCATGTCACGTCGTGGGTCGGGTATTGATTGAGCTCTTGTGTAGACATCCGGTTTCCTCAAGTTGGAAGAGTGGCTGACCCCCAAGCTTTTTTATCACTTATGTGATTACAAGGCCGATTCAGCTCCGTTCTCAGCTCCGATCACTTTGCGTGCCGAAAGATCGCCGTTGTGCCTCGGCTAAGAGCAAAAAACATACATACATAGAGACCAGCAGGGAGACACAGGCAGCCCACCCCAAAAGCACGCTTACTATCAGCAATGCGCACAGGACTCACATAGTACATACAATACTATTCACCCATGCCTAATCTCTCTGACGTGGGGCAGATATCCTTTCCAGATCCAATCTACTGCCTACCGGCTGTCCAAGATTCACACGCAAAATACCACCACTGGAGGGTACATAGAGCACCCTGAACATGTGATCCGGTGCCGCATCCGCGTGGGAGAGCAGAGAAAGCGCACACCGGAGCCGATGCTAACGTACTGCCTCGGTGCTTGATGTTGTTGTGATTGCGGTGCGTGTGGTTCCCAATATTGGGAGTGAAGGGTGGTTCGTCTGCTGTGTGCAAAATTTCGCTCAAAGGCAAGGGTTTTCGGGACTATAGTTCTGATCACAGCTCCGATCACAGCTCTCTATTTGTAGTACAAAATAGTTAAATATATCACGATTTTCATGCATTTTGTGCGATAGATATTAGTGGATGATGGTCTCGATTCTCTGATGAGTGGGCCGTTTTTTTGTCGATCTGGCGCTTCTGTGAGGCGGTTTCCCGTCAGCGTCTTCGCATCTAGCGCCGCTAGCATTTGCGCTTGCCGTATGCTCTGTCCAAGAATGAGGTGGAGAAGATGTGCCAACAGGTATTGCTTGCACAGGTACATCCTCTGTGCGGATGGTTGCTGTCGGAGACAGGCATGTGCACACCTGCTCAGAAACTACTGCAGCTGTACAGCTAGCTGTCTATTTCTCTCCGCATAGCTGCTACTGCTGTACAACAGAGTAGTACTACTGTACTCCTGTTCGTCACCCTTACATATACCGCGTCCCCATCCCTGTGAGCCCCACACATGGACCCACTGCTGCACCATCCTTAACGCCGTGATTTACGGGTGTACACGCGTGCTTGGAAGATCTTTGACCGCAGAGAGCCAGTTGTGGGGAAAAAAACAAAAAAAATCAAATTAACCCAGTCACGTAAGGGTTATTCCCCTCAAAATCCCAAGATTCGAACACTCGAACCAAGGTTGCTGCCAGGCGTGACATTGCGACCTTGCTGGCTGACGTCCCTTCAGTAAATTAGTATCAGGGTTCCAAAAAACAAAAAACACCGCGTACGTACGCTACAATACCACATGTAGTAGTAAATAATATAGTATCCTTTCGCCTCTGAAGCAAGAAAACAAGTACAACAAAAAAACACAAGCCTGCATGAACACAGCAACCACCAAGGCAATGAAGGCCAGCTGATGGCAGGCCGCTACTACTGCTGACATGCTTGAATTTATTGTCCAGGAGGTGATGACATGATGACGCGCTCGAGGGCACAAAAGTTTTCCTTGTCTTTTTGCTGTCACCTTTTAGAGAAGAGACTACTTTCTGCTGCTGCAGACTACCAGGTATCGTCCTGACGTCTGGTATTGTTCACCGATGCCACTACTACGAGTGAGTGAAGAGAGAACGGGTCGACATGTTCGTTTACGTCAACATTGTCCGAATCGGAAAACAAAGTATATTAACTGCTGTGTCGTGCGCTTCCTACTGCTGTACTGTAGTTGCCGGTACATGCCAGTATACTGCTGTTGTACTGCTGATGAATGCGACACAGAACACCATGTCCACCGAAGATCATGGCACGAGGGCGTTGTTTTCTTTTGGTTGGTGGGTGGTGTTGAATAAACACCAGGTTGATTGTTGTGGCGCTCGTTGGAACAACTAAGCGGACAATGTTGTAGAAGATGCAGGATGGAGCTCAGGCAGGAGACGTTTTACTTCTTCACGGTCTTCTTGGGGAGGAGCACGGCGTGGATGTTGGGCAGCACACCGCCGGACGCGATCGTCACCTCTCCGAGAAGCTTGTTCAGCTCCTCGTCGTTGCGGACGGCCAGCTGGATGTGGCGGGGGATGATGCGGGCCTTCTTGTTGTCGCGGGCGGCGTTGCCGGCCAGCTCAAGCACCTCGGCGGTCAGGTACTCCAGCACGGCGGCCAGGTACACCGGAGCTCCAGCTCCCACGCGGGACGCATACTTGCCCTTCTTGAGGAACCGGCCAACACGGCCAACAGGGAACTGCAGTCCAGCCTTGGCCGACCTGGTGGTCGACTTCTTTCCGCGGCCTCCCTTTCCCTTTCCGGACATGGTTGTTGTTGAGTTGGTGGTGAAGTAGACAGAGAGAGATGGGGATGTTTTGAGTTGTGAGAAGGGGGGCCGGGATAGTTCCGACAGGCAGGCAACGAGCAATGAGCAACGGCTGAAATCCTTCGTGCGGCGGAACTCCATTTTCAAAATACTATCAGGCCGCGCCGTTCTGCTCTGTGATTGGTGGAGATATGAATCTAGGTCAATGATTGGCGAAGGCAATAGCGGTGGACGAAAAGGAACAACGCTGATAACACCTCCCGAGCGTACTATCTTCTATCTTCTAGAGAGAGCGATCTCTGTCGGCTCTCCCACTCTCTGCCACAACTCTCTCTCCACCCTTCTCACTCAACACCCATCCAGCAAAGATGGCCAAGACCCCCTCCAAGAAGTCCGCCAAGGCGCCCAAGAAGGCCGGCGACAAGAAGAGGACCAACAAGAGGACCGAGTCGTACTCGTCGTACATCTACAAGGTGCTCAAGCAGGTCCACCCCGACACCGGTATCTCCAAGCGCGGCATGTCCATCATGAACTCGTTCATCAACGACGTGTTCGAGCGCGTGGCCGGCGAGTCCGGCAAGCTCACCCGCTACAACAAGAAGGCGACCCTGTCCTCCCGCGAGGTCCAGACCGCCGTGCGCCTGATGCTTCCCGGAGAGCTCGCCAAGCACGCCGTTTCCGAGGGCACCAAGGCCGTCACCAAGTTCACCTCGTCCTAATCAGCAAGCGAGGTGCGCTCTGTTCTTCAGGGGCCACGTCTTTCTGTGGGGTGCCAACATAGCTTCGGCTCCCGCAACCAGCAAAACCAACCTGGTGTTTACTCAACACCACCCAAACCACTGAAGAAAAAACCAGTTCGGGTTCTTCTGTACCAGTACTGCTGTAGAACAGCCGTGTGACTACTGTAGGTATAATCACTGTTTCCTTCTGTCGTTTTTTATGCACGTGACCCAATCACATCTCCCGTGGCAAAGTGATTCCGTTGCGTAACACGAGCAAGTCGGGCTTGTCTTGGTCCTCTCGTCCCATTTCATCCAGTTGAGTGCGCCAGTCTCCCTGTTCTCTCGGTTTATAGCAGTATGTTGGACGCATCGGCCAGGGGCCGTATAGGATTCCTTGTATTTTCTCCACCTGCTCTGCAATCTTGATGTTGCTTGTATTAAAATTTGGTAGTCCAGATTTCTTGAAACTTGGAACAAAAATGTTCGTGTTCCACCGTAATATCGGTCCGTTGTGTTTCAGGTCCTTTCGTTCAGGGTACATGACTATTCATAGTGGTCTAGTGTTCATCGTCCTGCTTGCACATTATTTATGTAAACTCATCGATTCCCTCTGC